CCCAGATCTGGTTCAACAACAAGGGCTGGCACGCCATGGTGGCCTTTGTCAACCGAGCCAACAATGCACTCCTACGTGCTCACCTGCCTCCAGGTTCTGACGGCCATGCCTACAGCATCACCACGCTCAACCACCCACTCAACCTCACCAAGGAGCAGTTGTCCGAGGCCACACTGTGAGTCCCTCTGCCCTGCGTGTCCTCCCCTGCCTCAGTCTCTGTTGTTTTGGGTGATGGGAGCTAGATTTTAAGTCTGCCCCACTCTTGTGTAAATGGAGAATAGGAACTGCCCCCCTCTGCTCACTGCACAGGGTAATGAGACATCATCAGGCTCAATGAGCTCCAGGCTCCCCCAACAGCCTCCACATTCTCATCCTACCAACCTTTATCTTACCAGAGATCTGTACAACCTCTCCTGTCTAACAATTCAGCCACCCTCATCCCTAAATGGCCCACACCATCTCTCCCACCAGTAACCACCCTGGTAGACCTTTGTCCCATCAATGGCATGCTCAGCTCTGCTCTGAGCAGCCTTCATACCCTCACCCCCAGGATGGCCTCCTCAGTGGATGTCCTCGTCTCCATCTGTGTGGTCTTTGCCATGTCCTTCGTCCCAGCCAGCTTCACTCTTGTCCTCATTGAGGAGCGTGTCACCCGAGCCAAACACCTTCAGCTCGTGGGGGGCCTGTCCCCCACCCTCTACTGGCTTGGCAACTTTCTGTGGGACTTGGTACAGGGGCTGCCTGGAAGGGTGGGGGCCCAACTGCTGCTCGTTACTATCCCTTCTGGCTCCTTCTGGGCAGGGGCTTGTCCAAGATGGCCTGGGTGAGGTCTTGGGGATGTGGGAGACCTCACGACCTCCTACCCAAAAAGCAGGGGGGTCAAGGGTGGGGTATAAGGGCTAAGGGTGGCAGTCCCTGCCTCTTCACACCGATAAAAATAACTACCATCTCCAATGCAGTGTAACTACTTGGTGCCAGCATGCATCGTGGTTCTCATCTTTCTGGCCTTTCAGCAAAGAGCGTATGTGGCCCCTGCCAACCTGCCTGCCCTCCTGCTGTTGCTACTACTGTATGGGTGAGACCCCCAGTCCCTCAGGGCCTATTCTTAATTCCCCCTACTCACTTACTGCTGTTGAGGGAGGTGGGACTCTGAAGCAGCTCCTGAGGAGAGGATATGGGGATTTGAGGGGACCCCAAATGCGATGTAATTCAGTGGTGTGCCAAGGTGGCCTTAAAAGCTCATCTTATCCTGATTCACATTAATAGAGGCCTAAGGCATAGAAAATGGGAAGGAAGGTCTGAATTCCTCTCTGGGTTGCTTGGTCTGAGTAGTTACCCCAGTAACTTCTATTGCCCCCTCAGCTGGTCGATCACTTCGTATAGCATACATTATACGAAGTTATACGATACCCAGCCTCCGTCTTCGTCTCCGTGCCCAGCACAGCCTCTGTGGTGCTCACCTGTATCAACCTCTTTATTGGCATCAATGGCAGCATGGCCACCTTCGTGCTTGAGCTCTTCTCTGATAAGGTAGGATGTGGTGAGAGGAGGGCTTGAGCTGGGTTGGGGCATCAGCTTTAGCCCCTGACCCACCTCTTTTCTTGACCTTGAGCAGAAGTTGCAGGAGGTGAGCCGGATCCTGAAACAGGTTTTCCTTATCTTCCCTCACTTCTGCCTGGGCCGGGGGCTCATTGACATGGTGCGGAATCAGGCCATGGCTGATGCCTTTGAGCGCTTGGGTGAGAATTTTTTGCTTAGTGGGGCCATGGCTACAGACAGCCAGCACCCTTGAAGTGCTACCCTAGAGTCAGTTATATAGGGTGGGGGAAAACAGCCTTCAGGGAGAGAACCAGAGTTTTTAGGTGGCTCCAAGGTTGGGAGGAGTTAGAGGTACAAAAAAAACAGCCATAACGACTAATTTTAAGGGCCGGCCGGTGGCTCACTCAGGAGAGTGCGGTGCTGAGAACACCAAGGCCCCCGGTTCAGATCCTATATAGGGATGGCTGGTTAGCTCACTGGTTGAGTGTGGTGCTGACAACACCAAGTCAAGGGTTGAGATCCCCTTACCAGTCATCTTTAAAAAAAAAAAAGACTAATTTTATCTTGGATTACATCACAAGAGGTCTAAGGCCCTACATAATGGAAATGGTGTTACCTTTGTTTTCTATGCCGCTCAGACACCAGCTGAGTGGTCTATTCAGTTATTGGTCATTTCCCTTAAAAATCCAGAGTGACCTGGATGGAGAGGGGGCTAGAAACCAAGCCCTCAGTCCCTTCTTCCTATCCTCACAGGAAACAGGCAGTTCCAGTCACCCCTGCGCTGGGAGGTGGTCGGCAAGAACCTCTTGGCCATGGTGGTACAGGGGCCCCTCTTCCTCCTCTTCACACTCCTGCTGCAGCATCGCAACCACCTTCTGCCACAGTTAGTGGAGACCAGGGGGAGGATGGCAGGGCCATGGACCTACTTTGGGCCCACTCATGTGTCTGTCCCCAGACTCAAGCTGAGACCACTGCCACCCCTCAGGGAGGAAGATGAGGATGTGGCCCATGAGCGGGAGCGGGTGGTCCGAGGGGACACCCATGGGGACGTGTTGGTGCTGAGTGATTTGACCAAGGTAGGTGTGACCAGGCAGAGTGCAGGTGTGTGGGGGGTCCCACTGGCTAACCCACTGTTCTCAGGGATTTGCACTCCTCCCAGGTGTACCGTGGGCAGAGGATGCCAGCAGTTGATCGCTTGTGCCTGGGGATTCCCCCTGGTGAGGTGAGTCCAGGGTGGAGGCCCTGGTGTAGGAGCAATGAGAGGCTGCCCAACTGTGTGCCTACTGCCATTTACTGAGCACCTTCTGCATGCCCTCTGCCCTTTACTGAGTACCTACTGCCCTTTATAGAGCACCCATCACGTTTTATTGAGTACCTACTGGGTGCCAATATTTGAGCTCCTATTTTGAGCCAACGAACACTTGTTTACTTATGGCTCACTTACATTTATTGAGCACCCATTGTGCTCACCAAAGGTGTACTGAATACCACCTTTGTGCCAATCAGCTTTTGTCAAGCACCAACAGCATTTATCAAGCCCCTATTGTATACACATCTGTATCAAGCGCTTGCTCCCAACCAATATTTATTAGGTACCTGCTTTGCACCAGTTCACATTCAAGCACCCACTGTGTGCATACTTATTTGTTGTGTGCCAACCCTAACCAGTCCACTCATGGAAACATGTTATGTGTTAGTGTAATTGTAGTCTTTCTTTACCAAGCAACTACTGTGTGCTAGCCAAGCTCTCCAATTTGGGCTGACTATGCACCCAGCCTGAGTGAGTACTGGGTGTCTTCGTTCATTAGATATCCACTGAGTGCCAGGACACATTTGGAAATCTCATGCCCTGATATTTTTTGAGCACCTGTTGTGTATGACTTTTATAGGCTACCTAATGTGTACTAGGATTTATTAAATACAACCTGTGTGCCCAAAACCATTCCCTGCTAAGCGACAGCTTTAAGCCTCCCCACATACCCCACTATCTGTCCCAGGGCTTCTCCTTGCCCCAGTGCCCCCAGCCCTCCATACTGAAAGTCAGAAACCCAGCCCCACTGGGAATCAGAGGCGCTGGCACAAGGGCCTGGGACCTCATTGAACACCGTTTGGGGACGTTACCACAGTGTTTCGGGCTGCTGGGCGTAAACGGAGCAGGGAAAACTTCCACTTTCCGCATGGTGACCGGGGACATGCTACCCAGCTGGGGCGAGGCCGTGCTGGTAGGCCACAGGTGAGGGGGCTTTGGGTGGGGGCGGGTGAGACCTGAAGTCTTGTTCTTCCCCACCCCCCGCTGTCCAGCACATGGACTGGACCGGCTGCACCCCTCACCAGCGTGAGACCCCTGTGGACCAGCCTCTGAGACACCCCTGTCCCTTACCAGAGTGGTCCTGGATGGGTTGGTCTTGAATCCCCTGTGTTTGCAGTATGGCCTGGGACTAGCCAGTGCTCTGAGCCCCCTGTTCCCTCCCCCAGCGTGGCTCGGGAACCGGCCTCCGCGCACCGCTGCATGGGCTACTGTCCCCAATCGGAAGCTATCTTCGAGCTGCTGACGGGCCGCGAGCACCTGGAGCTGTTCGCGCGCCTGCGTGGAGTCCCCGAGGCCCAGGTGGCCCAGGTGAGCCCACCCCACCCCCACACTCTCCCTCCCCAAGCAGCCCCACCCCCGGGCTTTCCCGTTCCCACCTCGCGCTCTCTCACTCTTGGCTCCACCCCTATTCCCACCCCAGATCCTGCTTTGGGGTGTGGCCCCGCCCACTCTTGCCCTGACTCCGCCTCTGGCTTAGGGCTTCCCACCTTTCACACCCCTGTCCAATGGTCCACTTCTCACTCATTCTGGCCACCCCTAGGTTGCAGCCCACCCCTTTCACGTCACCTTCCACCTGCATCCTTGTCCTACCTTTGCCCTCACTCTGGCCCCACCCATCCTTTACTCTGACCCCTCTCCATGCCCACCCTGGGTCCCTCTGGCCCCGCCCCCTGCGCATTCGGCCCCGCCCCGCAGACCGCGAGCGTGGGCCTGGCGCGCCTGGGGCTCCCACGGTTCGCAGACAGACCCGCAGGCACCTACAGCGGAGGCAACAAGCGGAAGCTGGCGACAGCTGTGGCGCTAGTCGGGGACCCTGCCGTGGTCTTTCTGGTAAGTGGGGGCAGGCTGGGGTGGGGTGGGGTGGGGACTGGCAGGAGGCGGGCCAGGCTCGTGGCATAGCCCCTCTTCCCAGGACGAGCCCACCACAGGCATGGACCCCGGTGCGCGGCGCTTCCTCTGGAACAGCCTCCTGGCCGTGGTGCGGCGGGGCCGCTCCGTGGTGCTCACGTCGCACAGGTGAGCCCGTCGCCGGAAGCCCGGCTCTGGGCAGAGAGGTGGCCGCGGGCCCCAGCGAGAGGCTGCCCAGTGCACAGGGCCATACCGAATGGGGCGCTCCTGACCCTGGGGGGACGTGGCTCCCAGGCCCTAGGGTGTGGGGACACAGCGGTGCTGCCCAGCCCCGGCAACAGAGGGGCCCGTGTCCGGCGGGAAATGTCCAGAGCAGAAGGGCGGTCCACGCCCGGAGAGCGAGGGTCCTCGGGCGCCGTGGCGCAGCGCGGGGCACGGGTGGGCCAGGCCTCGCTGCAGCCCGTGTCGCTGGGCTCCCGGCAGCATGGAGGAGTGTGAAGCGCTGTGCACGCGCCTGGCCATCATGGCGAACGGACGGTTCCGCTGCCTGGGCAGCGCGCGGCACCTCAAGAGCAGGTGCGGGGACACGACTAGGCGGACCGGGCGCGGATGGAGGCGGGTTGAGGGAGGGTGCGGGCGTGGGCCACGTGGGCGAAGCGGCCAGAGTGATGGGTGGTCCGAGAGAGCCGGGCGACGGGGTGGCCGCTGGGGTTAGCTGCGGGCAGGACCAGGGGGGCACGGGCGGATCGTGCAGCTGGAGGCCGGTCGGGTGAGTGGGCGGCGCCTGCGCGTGCGGCAGCTCCAGGAACGTGGGGGGCGGGGACAAGAGTGTGAGACGGGGTCTAGGGGGACGCACGGGCGGAGACACGTGGGTTGAGAGCGGGCTCGATGGGGTGGTGGCTCCAATAGGTCTGTGTGCGATTGGGGTGTCCTGTAGGGCCACGAGAGGTGAGGGGGGTCCCTGGACACAAGTGGGCAGGGCTAGGTGAGTGGGCGTGGA